GGGGTGGGTTCCGCTAACAGATAGCTCTCATTAACAGCCAATTTGGGTGTGGGGTAGGCCCTGTCAATAGAACTATTCCTAACACAATTAAGGGTGTGGGGTTCTCTGCAGACTCCCCAGGGTGATGGTTCCTGCAATGATTTTAGGAGGAAATTGGCTCCTAACATCCCATCACCATGGTCTAAAAAACAGTTTGGTATTTAGAAGTGGTTCAAAGAATATTTGCTGACTCAATGCTGGTTTATCATGAATTTTTACTTGTTCCTTGCATGTTTCAAACCACATTTGTGTGGTAGCATTATCATGAAAAGGGAATTTAAAATGTTTTTCCTTTCTGTTGGGGGCTGCAGCTGTCCTCTGCAGAGCTTGCTAGTCTGGGCTCTGACTCCTCATTTACACCATGGAGCATGGTTAGACTGTATTGTCTGTGACGCTACTGCAGTCTCTGTGGGAGGTATTTTCCCCTTCCCGTCATCTTTGAGTTGTTCACCACAAAGCAGAAGCTTTGGAGGCCTGCTGCTTTTTCTCTCCTGCCCTCAGGGGTGTAGCCTTGTGGATTTTGTGACTAAGAAATGACTGTTTGAAAAAGCAACCTGCCAGGCCACCCTTGTCAGCTAATGACAGGCTGGTATGCTGAACAGAAATCCTGTTGTCATTGCTTAGTATATGTCTCTTGGCATGACTCCCTCACAATTCTGTCTGTTCTTCTCACCTATAGTCAAGAGAGCTATAATCACTATGATGTGTCCTGTGAAATCAAAGCTGAGTTCTTTCAGGGAATTACTGGGTGGCTTCCTGTTTTCAGCTTAAGGTGTAGGTTTTTATTCCTTTGAACAAATGGTAACATAAATACAGTAGCTTTGGAGCTTCATGAGAGTAATTTCTCCATATGGTACCTTTGGTAGCACCGAAGATATTTTTTTTTTAAGATGTCTGTGGGCTAGTTTAAAAAAAAATCTTGTCAGTCGGCAAACATTTTACTGGCCTCCACAATAGTTCACCTACACATCACAATGTTACAAGGGTAATTTGTCACTTAAATCCTCTTCAGAATGTGTGGAGAACAAACAAACCTGGCGACACAGCAGAAGAGAAGAAGCCCGGCAGCTTCACAGCCCAGCGTACCTTGCCACCACTATGGATCCACATGAAGCAATAGTGCAGTGGTCATTTTCATGCATGGCCAGGGAATTCAGAGATGATGAGAGATATTGGCCCACAAGACAGTATCTATACTATGGTGAACCCACAGCTAGTGAGCTGCATTTATCTAGTGTGGAGACAAAAAGCCGATTATACAGTTGAGGGCAAAGGAGGAAAAGCTTCTTGGAGATTAGCTGTTGCATCAGTGTCTTACATTTCAGAGGAATGTAATCATTGGTTTCATGATTAATAATCATCATGGATGGCCTTTATCTCCCATCCATAGTTTATCTGGAGATTGAAATAAATGCAAAATCAATCTTGCAGAATGTCACAAATCCTGTTGTTCCTAGTCAGTGATAGATACAAAATCAGGTTAAGATTGGCCGAGCAATTTGAGCTGGACCATACTACTAGTCAGAGGGATAAACTGTTGAGCTCTTTCTAGAATGATCTACTATGGTGTCATCCCTGACAAAGGAAATGAACAAATCTAATTTTTTTTCCAGAAGAGCGGCTTAGCAGTCCATTGCCTTAAACATAGATCTAATCTACATGGGAAGTAGAAAAAGACAAGATCTCCTAAGTAAATTGGAAGCATGGGGACCTTGGGGGAGTGTCAAAGGTGAGGGGAGAGACAGGGAGGGGAGCAGAGAAAAATGTAGAGCTCAATAAAAATTTTAAAAAAAGAGCTGTTTGGCGCTGTTCCTATTTCTCTTCATACCTCTTAGCAGTCTCTGCCAGTACTTCACTCCTGCTGGTCCCTTACATCCAGACTCCATTTCTACAGAGTCACTTCCTGACAAACCTTGTTTCTGATTGGTCACAACTGCCAAGGTGGGACCTGGCAATCACAGAGCATGTTCCCAGGTATTTCTCATCTCTGTGCTTCCCTGTCGGGTTTAGAGTCCTTTGGGATAAGAGCACCAATGTTCCTGTTCTTCTCTGTGCATCTTATTTCTCTGCTTCTTTCATTAGTCAGCCCTTCTAAGTCACACCTTGAAGTCACCCACCCACCTCAGGGAAAAAATGATCCAACTGCGCAATGTAAGTCACTCCTAATATACACAAGGACTTAGGAGGGATACGATGACAAACTGTAGACAGTGAATTCCTGAGGAAGAAATGGTTTGTTTCACTCAAAGTGTTTAATGCAGTATGGCCTGTGGGGTGGGTACTATGCTGTTGAACATAATGAAAGGGCATATGTGGAGGAAGCACCTAGATTAGCAGCCCCTCATGAGGACGGTGGGGTAAGTACAAACAATATGATAGGGAACTGGAGATTTACAGGGGAAGGCTTCACAGAGAAAACAGCATTCGAGTGACTTGGACTGTTTACCTCATTCTTTACAAAGAGAACCCTTAGTTGTTTAGCCAAATAACTACATCCTTGAGTTTTGTTTACTATAGAGGGAATGGAGACCGAGCTCAGCAGTTAAGAATACTAGCTGCTCTTCCAGAGGACCTTTGTTCCAATCTCAGTACTAACGTCAGGTGGTTTACAACGACTTCTAACTGCTCCAGGGGATCCGATGGCCTCTTCTGTCCTCTTTGGGCACTCACACACATGACACATATGTACATACACATACATTTCAAAAATTAAAATTAATCTTAAAATGCTATTTAAAAGGTGTACTAGGGCAGAGAAACTTGTATGCTATGGATACAAATGGGTATACAACCTGGCTTAAGCTTCTCCTTCTCTCTTTCCTATAGGAAGAGGATGGTGTCTTTTCCAAATGGAATTAACCCATTGTGATTTGTGGACAGTAGTTTTGCTTGCTGTTGGTGATAATAAAAGGATCACACAGGTATTTGTGCATTGCAGACTTTCCTCTCCCTTTTGCTCTGATAATATATATTAATTAATATATAATTATATATTAATTACATATATAGTGTGTAAGAGCGTTTTGCCTGCATCTGTGGGTGTGTACCGTGTGCTGGAACCCCAGGAATTGGAGTGGATGTGCATGGGCTGGGCTGGGAACTGAACCCTGGTTTTCTGCAAGAGCACTGAGTGCTCCTAAGAGCTGAGTCATCACTCTAGCCCTGTCTACTCCGAGATTTTTTTCTCTGATTTTTGTCACAGTAACAGACATGTGTTAAACCATCTCCTCCCTCATTCTGCCTTCCTCAGGTAAGAACAACATTCATGGCTTGATTAAAGGTCAAATTAGGGTTTATTTCTTTAGAATTTGTTGAAACAATACTGGGTGAAGAGTTTTGGTTTTTAGATTCCTTTTTTTTATTTCCTTCCTCGGACTAAATTCTCATAAGCAAATAACTATTTTGTTAGAATACTTTAAAGAATTATTTTCCTACATCAATTAACAACTAGATGGGGTCAAGCCCTGGAAGAATGTACTTCTTTCCCATTTATATCAAATCACAGCCTCTCCCATGAGCAAGCTGGCGTGCAAATGCTCCTGACACATCCTGAGGTGGAAGTGCTTTGAAGATTGTAGTTTGGAGGAGTTGGTCAGAGAGGAACTAAGTTCCTGTAGAACACTTTTTAGGGAAAAAGAAAGTATTTCCGAGAAAAGAAAAGTGTTAATGCATTTTATTCTTCTAACTGGTGTTAATTACCGAGAATTATTGATTTAATATAAACTCTAGCTAGACAATTACAAACCTCTATAAGCCTAAATTTCCATATCTGTATGTGGAATTCACTTTGGATAAATGTGAGGACTGAAGAGGAATATTAATATCTCCATCTATCTGTCTGTCTGTCTATCTATCTATCTGGCACCTATTGGCATTTAGCTACTATTTTAAGAATGCATCAGAGTTCTAACAATTTATTTCTAGAAAATGTTCGAAGGAAAAACCACTTTATACCTTCTCAAATATTTTCGTACTTTTCATTTTATACTATTCAGGATAGAACTCTATTTTTAAATAGCAGATGGTGGGCTTTGTACTTACGTGGGAGCGGATTAAAGGCTGCCCTTTCCTGCCTACCTACTTGGAAAAGATCCCCAAATCACATCCCACATCTCAATGTCATTAAGACCTCTAATCCTCTTACTAAAGCTTTCCTAGTTTGAGCCTTCATCATCAGTGGTTAGATCTTTATTTGGAACAAAACAGCATCTCTGGGTATCAAGGTCTGAACTGGGTTACCAGCACTGCAACACTGCTGCAAAGAGCTTCAACTTTGCAAGATTCACACAAGCAAGACCCAGGCTCCTTGACACCCCGACTCAGTCCCCCTTCTGTTCATCACCGAAGTCTGAACATTTTTCTTTTTAAATCGATTTAGCTTTTGGGTCGTTTACAGGAAGAGCAGTTTGGAGAGGCTGGAAGGTTGGGCAGAGACCCGCTAGAGAAGTAACATAAAGGTCTGGTTTATTGAGATATATATATATATATATATATATATATATATATATGCCAATTTTAGATTATAACAGAATGAAATAAGAGGCGCTGGCACCAGGCCTGGCCATGTCTCTATAGCTAGGGAACCTTGGCAAAGCTGAGGCCACCAGCTCCCCTCCCCCATCACTTGCAGCCAGTCGGCAGCACGCACCCTGGAAGGGTAGCAAACAAGGGGGCTGGTCCCCGGGAACAGGTTGTCATTTCACCTTTCACTTAGGCCTTGCTTTAAAAACCACCACGTTCGACCCAGCAGGCAGGTCCCAGGCCAGGCTAGAGAGGGTTCCGCAAGGTCAGTTAACTTGGCGCTACGGCTTTCTGCCCGCCTTCCCATCCTTAGCACAGCAGCCGCTAGACATTTCTATTGGTCAGCATGGCTGTCTATCAGTCCATCGCGCACCTCCCCCAAACAGCCTGTCAGGTAGGCGCGTGCTAGCGAGGCGGAGCTTGCGCCTAAGGGGCGGGGCCTCGGCTGTGGAAGGCGCAGCGGCCGCTTCACGGCTCTGACTCTGGACTGGAGCGCGCAGGCATCCTCGCAGCCGCTGCTACTCCTGCTGTAGCTGGTCAGGTAAAAGAGTCTTCCTCCTGGCCGTCTGCCCCACGTCTTCTTCGCAGCCAAAGGCTGCCCGCTCGGCCTCCCCGGCTTTAGGGTTCTGGTCAGAGCTGATAAGCTCCTACCTTAGCGTCCTCTCTGTTGTCGAGTTGGTTCCTCCAGCTCTGCAGCCAGGCTGCTGGGTGCTGGGAAGTGCGTCGGTGGCCCCTAGAATCACCCCAACATCCCTCTCTACAGAACTCACATCGTTAACTCTCAGGCCCTAACCTTCTTGACCTGTCAGTGCAGTCTCATTCCAGCTTGGCTCAGGAAAGCTGGGAGGGTTGGAGGGCCACAGAGGGGAGGATGAAGGCTCCCCCCCACACCCCCCCTCCGTAACGATGCAATTATACTGCAATGAAGTTGAATTGAGAATAGAAGCCGCTTCGTGTTTGTCTTGGCAATAACGAGGGTATCTGTTGCTGCACTGTGCTTGTATTTATAGGTGGCATTCAGCATCACCGTTTTCTTGAGGCATCCTTGTCATCATCACAACCATCACCAACATCATCATCTTCTCCTCCATTCAGAACTCTAGTTCCCTGAAGGCCGTCTCTGTTCCTCTATGTAAGTGTTGGACACTCCTCTTTCCAATAGCACGCAATGTCCTTGTCTCCAGAAGCCACAACCAAACCTTCTTTTAACTCAAGGACAACTAGTTGGGAACAGTGTGTGTGTGTGTGTGTGTGTGTGTGTGTGTGTGTGTGTGTGTGTGTGTGTTGGGTGCTAGGGCAATATTCCCACTTCCAACTGAGATTTTTCCAAAGGAATCTTTCAGTTTTAATCCTCCACATTTCTGCTTACTAACTCCTAGAGAGTTTGATGTTGGCACTGACACAGTCGTGGTGGGCAGGGTCTGCGGTCCTGAAGTACAGAGCTGTGTGAGGCAAATTATACCCATAACAAGTTAAGCCTTGGAGCAGACCAGGTCAAGCGGCAAAGCATCTGGCTTTCTCCCACAGTGGCTCCAGTTGTACCGAAGCTTGTTTAGTATTCATGCTTGCAGATAGGGTGTGTGTCACTGTGGTGTTTTATTATAGGTCCCCCTCCAACGAGGCTACTACGTCCTAATCCCTGCAGTATGCCTAGAAACCTGTTACTTGTTGATGCTCCACTAGAGTGCATACCCTTGAGAGAAAGGAAGATGATTGTTTGGGTGTCTGTGGCTGAGGAGAATCCAGAGCTTTGAAATATTCTAAAGCAATGATTCCACGATGAGGGGGTAATCTGATATTCAATTCTCAGCTATAATGCTTTCTTCCTAAAAGAGGGCTAATAAATCAGAGATCTAATAGACCTTACAGCAAGCCCTGGGAAGAGCTGAGCAAGGGTTGTTGAGTCTCAGAGGTATGTCTAGAAAATGCCTTCTGATGAAGACAATAGAATTTATTATATTCTCTCTCTCTCTCTCTCTCTCTCTCTCTCTCTCTCTTTCTCTCTCCACATAGGGAAGTTGTAGGTGTAAATGAAATAATGTTAGTAAGATGCTTAATAATTTCCTGGCACATGGGAATGGTGGAATTAATGATCATTGCTGGTAGTAATACTAGCCAACAAGAATAACAAAGGCCCTAAACTGTGTGTCTTCTCTTTCTCTGTTTGTTTTAGATCTCACTACATGTGCAATGGGATTGCCTCTTAAGGGTCCTACCGATTGAACCCATCTGTGTTTAAGCAGCCATGTCATAGGAACTCCAGCCTGTGCAAATGCTTAGCAAGCTTTTGGTTAAGATGCATTAAAGCAGAAGCTTTTGGGGGAGGGGACTTCTCTCTGGTCTTTGGGCCTGCCATAGGCTGTTCTTTTCTTACTGGCTCTTCACCATACTGTCTTGATAGATTGTGCCTTCTGCAGACTCATTAGTGAATGTATTGGCTTCTGCCCAGGGAAAGTCAAGCAGCTTTGCTTCAAATGTCTGTGGGAATTGAAGCCTCTCTAAATCACTACCCTGAAGTAACTTATTGTGTAACAACATGATTCTTTTCTAAGACTACAAACTAGACAGAACCTCTGAATAACTGTGTAGTTCGTATCTCTTATCCCAAGAAGTTCACATCATTCCATCTGCTTTGGGGAGGGGAATACTTAGATATCTGGAGTTTGTTGTCCTTCATATTAGTAGGATGTTTTTTATTGTATGGGATAGAAGTCCAACAGAAAGTATCCTAAACAAAAGGAGGAGCATTTGGGTCTCACATAACTGAGCCCAACTGGGTCCTAATATCCTGGTGCAGAAGTTGGTCTACTCAAGAGGGCTCCTGAGTTTTAATAGCTACTGAAGTTGCCATCCTGCTCTCTAGCTCTTTGTCTTTGGGTAATTTTAACCTTTATCTTTTAGCTCTGTCTCTCCCTCCCCTGTTGATCTCACTCTGTTCCATTACAGACCCTGCCCTCCCAATGCCTTTATAAACTCTAGATTCACATCCTTCTAGTTCCAGAACTCAAGTCCTAAGCGAAAAGTCCCAGGAAAGAATTGCTCTTGATAGGTCCTTTATTCACAGGTGCCCGCCTAGATTAAATGCTTTGGTCAAGGGATTGGGTGCTATAGACCTTCTGATAACTGAGGGTTGAGTTTCATATCCTAATCTTCTGCCATATCCAGATAAAAATCAGTGGGGCAAAGGAAGAGAAGTAGAAACTGGGGACAGTTCTGGACTTGGCATGATGGTGGTCAACATGCTTGATGGAGAACTGAGGAATATCTTTCTCTGACTGGCATAAGTGCTCCACAGTCGTTATGTTAGAGCTCTGGGTTCATGCATATCATTGCAGACGGAACTGTGTTTCAGGTGACCTTGCTCTTAATATTTAAATTGAAACTTTATTTGTGTAAGCAAGAAAAGTCATCAGGGATGTTGAAGAACCTGCAGTGATTCCACTGTTGGCGGTTTGATCATGTTTGGAGTTGCTTGTAATCTCTTCCGGGCCACATTTGTTAACACCCGCCATATTTTTTGGATGTACATAGTATTTGGTTTAAAATCAGCTTAATTCTTAGCGGGTCTCAGCCTGTGTGCTGGCATTCATCCGACGTGCTTGATCTTTGCAGAGATGCTAAACCACGAGGAGCGAATGTGAGCCTGCACCAACAGGCTGGCCTCTGGAAGGAAATGAAACATCCCCGTGTTTAGGGTCTGAACTGCAGACAAAGCAGTGATCCCTGTGCCCGGTAAAACAATAATTACTGTAGTTGGAGGAGGTAGAGTGGGTACGATCTGCTGACCTCAGCAACATACAAGGCTGGAAACTCAGGAATGGACTGTGTCTTCCTTGCAGTTTCTGGGTCCTTTAGTGAAGAGTAAAAGCAGTCTCAAGATAGTGGAGTAATCAGTGTACTCACCTGGCCTTCAAACATATCTACCCTAGTACCTCTGTTGTGAGAGAATTGTTTCTTCACTGGGCCTCCCTACTGCTACCTTCCTAAGCTGAACAGACCTCTGAAATTCTCTGCAGGACAGAAACTTCTAGCCAAGTCCTTTTTATTTTTCCTTCTCCAAACTCCTTTTCCATCTCTTGTTTCCCTGCCTTAATCAAAACTGACTTTTTTGTGTTCTATTTTATTACTATTCATCCCTGTTCTCCTATCTAAAGTGTCACCTATCATTGTTAAATACTGATATACTTCAAATTTAACACATTTTTTTCTTTGGTCTTCCAAGTGACAAGCTGCTGAGGGTATAATGTTGGAGTCGGCAGGACGTTTTAGCATTTATGCTATCTGCCAGGGCTGAGACATTAATTGAGAAGCAGCAGACTGGGGAGGAGAGATAAAAAGCAGCCCAGGAAATAGCATTATGTTGCAGCTGACAGGTCCAATTCTCACATCCCTGCCCTGAGCTTTCCCTTCTCAATGAGAGGGCTCTAGGGCATGTTCTGGGGGAAAGAAGTACAGTGGGCATAAATGACCCCAACATTGGTACATTTAAAAAATCCATCAAATAGAGCAGTGCTATTAAACAAGCCTTCAGCCACAGCTGTTCTGCTCTTAGTCCACGTGGACATCTGCTCACACTCATCCAGCTGTTCTGCTCTTAGTCCACGTGGACATCTGCTCACATTCATCCAGCTGCTCTGCTCTTAGTCCACGTGGACATCTGCTCACATTCATCCAGCTGTTCTGCTCTGAACCCACGTGGACATCTGCTCACACTCATCCAGCTGTTCTACTCTGAACCCATGAAGACAGCTACTCACACTCATTCAGGCTTGATGCTATTTCCTGTGATACCAACACAGTAAAAATGACACATGTTTCAAAGAGAATAAGAACCTTCTTGGTTTGTAGGAAAAGTCTTTTCCAGTAACCCATTCCTTGTAGTAATTCTGATTTCTTAAAACCTGACACTCATGCCAATGAAGTCCACATGAAATTGTGTGAATGAATGGTGTCACCTATAGGCGAGAGGCACTCTTCTAGGTATGTACGGGTGACCATGGTGCTGCCATTGCTCTCTGAGTGTTCCCCACAAATGCCACATCTCTGTCTAGAGTCCCAGATTTTGTCTTTTATTTTTTGTTTTTGTTTTTTGAGACAGAGTTTCTCTGTGTAACAGCCTTGGTTGTCCTGAATCAGTTTCTCTAAGTATGAAAATGCAAGGTGTTTGCACTTTGATGATGTAAAATTGCTGAATTAGGAGGTAGAGATTATTTTGGAATGATTGTTATGATGATAGTTAATGATCATTCTCCTCTGAGAGAAATAAACATTGTGTTTACATGCATTCAGACCTCAAGAGGTGCTGAGTAAAATTTCCTTATTCTTTGAGAATACAGTATCTTGTCTTCTATCTAGAGAATAGTTTGTGTGCACTAGGAGTGGTTCTCAACCTTCCTAATGCTGCAGCCCTTTAAATACAATTCTTCATGTTGTGCTGCTCTTCCCCCAACAATAAAATCATTTAGTTGCTACTTTATAACTGTCATTTTGTCACTGTTATGGATCATAATGTAAATATCTGATATGCAGGATATCCCATATACAACCCCTTTAGGGGGGTTGCAACGCACAGAGAATCGCTTTGTTAGAGGTAATACATAAAACTGTAGACTTCCGCTTTGCTGTGTTCATTGTCAAGAAGTGCTCTAAGCCCTGTGGATACTAACAGAGCTGGATTTTTGCCATTCCAGCACATAGTTCATGCATCCTGATGTTCTAACAAAGAAAAAATCCTTAAAGGATTGTCAGTCTAAGGGCAGGCAGTGAGAAGTGGCTGTTCTCATCCTGGGCTAGCATAGAGGATTTAGAAACCTTGCCTCAGTTACTAGCTCTGCTGGCCCCTCATTGTACAAAGTAATTGGCACAGAACCTCTTAAACAGGACCAGGACTCTGAGAGCTTAGTCTGCTTGTTCAAGGGCATACATTTAAGTAGATTCTGGTTAGTGTGTTGCCCACTTACAAGGCTTATATTCTACTTTCTATGCCCTAGTAGGCCAGTGAGAATACTCCTGGTTTTAACTTATTTTACTTTAAAGCAGGATAAGCCATAAATATAGTGCAATATTTTGAGTACATATCTAGTAAAAAAAAAAGCTTTTATACTCATTAAATGGTCATCTGTTCTCTTTTTA